AACGATTCAAAGCCTATAGAGTGGCAAAAATACCTCGGTTTAATACTTCCACCCTCTATGAGCACCGTCTTCACGTGCACACGCCTCTCTGACAGCGCTCAGAAACAGTCTCTCAGACAGTACGCACATACAGCGAAATGAGTTCTCTTTCGCTTCTGATTGCATTTCAATGGCTTCAAATCAACTGGTTTTAACCTGTTAACCCGCACCGGCCCAAGGGCGTGTTTAGGCGTGTCTGTGCTTTTAATTACCTTTGTTTTAAAACAATATTCAATCAACTATCATAAACTATATATCATTTGACAGCTAAAACACTCAAGATCCATGTTCTGAGCTTGTTTTTTAAATCAATACACCAGAGAGGAAAGGGTTAACATAAATGCTGAAGGACCGCCATTTAAACATGTACAAAGTGAACGGCAGTACTTACGTTTCATCGCCTATAGTTCTGGTCAGCTCGGACTATTCCAAGAAACACCAGCACAACATTTCAAGATAAGAGTCCACTCTTCAAAATGCATCACACTTTTTAATCCAAAACAACGAAAAAATAGGGGAAAAAACGAAAGATCCTCCTTTGTTTACATGAGCGATTCTAAAAATATGGTCAGACATTCAGCTTTATCTTTATGGTGTTTTCAGGCGTTTGGCATGAAAGCCTCATCCATTTTTCCATTAGTGAATTTCATTAAAAGATATCGTGAGTCACTTTCATGTACATTTTACCTTGTTTTACTCTGTTGCTATACTAATTTTGAGTTATTATGACTCCAGAGTAACAAAGGTTCAAGTGTCTAGTTTCAAACAATACCAGATTTATAAATATAGACCATAGGGTTCAAGAGCTACAGACATTTTTATTTGGGTATGTCGTTTTTCAGAAAATGCTCAAAAACGGGCGCACAGTAACCACAATGCTTAAAAACGTGTGCAAATTATACGTTTTCATGACCATGCAGCACAGCAACTTCATGTGAGTGTATAACCGTGATAGAGACGATAGTCCAAAATTTCTACTGGTTAATTGCTCACCCCTACAAAGAACCCTATATGACAAAAATACTGAGGATGGTCTCAGGTGAACCTAAGGCCATGCAAAGAACCACTAAGGAACCCTTTAAATGGGTAGTATACCCAAAAATAAGGATTTGGACATCTTTTACTCACCCATATGTTGATCCAGACCAATATGATTTTCTTTGATCCGTGGAAAACAAAAACAGATGTTTGGGAGAATGTTCACGCTGCTCTTTTCCATACAATGAAAGTCAATAGAGATGGCCACTGTATTTTCAAAAGAAAACAGTTAAAACTGTGGTCTGTTCCTCCCACAAAGTTAATGTTTAGCTTGAATATGAATCATGTCGATCACTTTCACAAAGTGTTGGGGAGTAACTAGTTACATGTAACGGTGTTACGTAATTTAATTACAAAATAAATGTAACTGTAATCAGTTACAGTTACTAAGAAAAAATGTGTAATTAAATTACAGTTACTTATGAAAATGTTAACGATTACAAAGGGGATTACATTTGAATATTTACATCCACATACAGATTTAATTGATTTCTTTTCCAAATTGCACTGCATGGTGTAAATGTTTGAAAATGATTAACAGTTGCAAATAAACTCATTAGAAATGTATAAAAGTCATCAAAAAGTAATCAAAAGTAATCAGTTACATTACTTTAATAAAGTAACTGAAAAAGTTACACTACTATTACATTTTAAATAGGGTAACTTGTAATCTGTAACCTACTACATTTCCAAAGTAACCTTCCCAACACTGCTTTCACAGTACATTTATCATGCTTTTTGTAATTTCTGGAGCTATACAGTACCTGCCCCCATTAACTTTCATTGTACAGAGAAGAGCAGAAGAAGAACATCTCTCGCTGTGAAGAACAAACAACATGTAAAGCCAGAATTTTTATTTTGGGGTCAAATTATCTTATAAAAATGTACATAAGAGAGGGTACAACATGTTGTCTCTATCTCCCGTCATAGACTAATATGTTCTTATCTCATTCGACACCTGCTCAGAGCAAGCGCCACCCTTTTAACTACCCAAACCAAACTATCCAAGAACCGTTGAGGAGATATTGTAATTTCTCGTGTGTGTCTCATTTGTCCACTGCATTTACGCTTGAACAAAAGTGAACATATGTGTCTAAGACACTACAGCACTGATGTATGACATACAGGTTAAAGCCAACAGTGACTTTAACCCCTCTTAAAGTGTTTCCCACAGTGCTTGGCAGTCCAGCGGGTCACACAATCCCGTCCATTAGCCTCCTGCTCTAGTGACCTGCAGGAGGCCAGCAGATTATGGCTACGCGTTTCTACTCGCTGCGATTTCCTGCTACATGCCAAGTCAACAGATGCCTAAGGAGACTAGCGGATTTTACACGCAAGACCCAAACTGAGCCAGAGAGCTGAACCTTCCAGCAAGAGCTCAGGCTGAAAGTTGATCACAATTAGGAAATCCTGGGCCACCCATTGGGGCTGATAGGAAGGTGTCGCTTTAAAAATAGAGATATGTGCCGGGCCAGGAAAAAAGAACAGTTGCTGAGTGCAGTGGAAAAGAAGGGGCATTGAGTGGTCGCCTTTCCTTTGATGTGTGATAACATGCACTTAAAAATGACCATGTTATTGCCATGTTTTGGGCATGGTACTATGGTAATACCAAGGTATTCTTTGAAGTATATACACCACAACAATGTTATAGTATCTTTTAAATGACTCACAAAAAGTACCATGGTACTAACACGTTTTTGTTATTTTGATATACACAGCTACATAGTATTCTTTAAATTAACAAAATTATATAGAATATAATTTTGTTAATTTAAAGAATACTATGGTATTGCTATCATGACAGTGTCCGAAAACCATAGCACATTATCAAACTCTATAGTGTTACCATAATATTTAGAAAGATACCATGGTATTACCACATGGAGTTTTAGGCATGGTACCACATACTGCGATAGTATCAGACGGTAATACTATGGTACTCTGAAATATACATGGTACTTAAATTCTTCAATTCATGGTTTTTATATTGTAGCACATGGTACTTCCAAAATGCCATGGTACTGCCAATGGTACATGTCCAAAATACCATAGTGGTACCATAGCACCATAGTCATTAAAAAAAGATACCATATCTTGATACTATGGTATTTTGGACATGTACCATTTAACATGGACATGTATTTACATGGAACTTCAACCAATACCATGGTAAATGGTACTTATCCAAAGCACAACAGTAGTTCCTATGACAATCTTTATCATAATACTTTATTAGTCATTAATGTGTACTGCAAATACCAGTCAATTAATATTTGAAGCATTCTAGTACAATGTTATAAATCAGTCATCTGACACCATTACTGTACCATGTTATCACCATCGTGCTTTTTTGAGTAAATATCATGGTATATAAAAAAAGTACCATGGTATTACTATCTGACACGTCACGTACAATGGTAGCCACAAAGTATGTACTGTAAGGGTATGCAGCGGCACAGTGGCTAATAAGTATGTTTCGAAATGGACTGACAGTTTATATAGGGGACAAATTGGGCAATAAAAAGGCCAGATACCTTATGTGTTTGCATGTGTGTGGAGCGGAAACAAGAGGTGGTGGAGGGGGATGTCGGAGCAGAAGGGGAGATTTTGAAGGAACGGGGGGTGAAGGTATTGGTGACGGCAGATGCTGTCCCAGTATGACTTCAGTGAATCTATGGTGAGGGCTGTTTTTGGGGGGGAGGGTCTGCTGGCCTTGTTTGACATCAGCTGCAAATCTGGCCTAAGTGTGTATTCATTTGTTTGTTTATGGATGCATCCACACATGCGTGCGTGAGAAGGGTGAGGGTGTTGGAAACGCATGTTTTTGTTTGTGTCTTTGTGTGGCGTGGAGGAGGGGTGGTGCTACTGTATGTATGAAAAACATCCTTGGGTGCTTGGGTGTCAGATTTAATTTGATCTGTCCAGAACAGTAGCAGACTGTGAGAGTGTGCGCATATGTGTGTGTGTGTGTGAGAGAGAGAGAGAGAGAGAGAGATGGATTCTAAGACAGACAGACAGACAGACAGACAGATAGATAGATGCATGCATGTAATAAAATAAGCCAAAACAAGGTACCTGAAAAGGCAGCATAATGTCTATCAGTTGAAACAGCCTTAGAATCAAAAGCGCGCAATGTCTACGATGCAATCTAAATAGTGAGCTCACTAGGTTTTGTAACAGAGCTTTAGCGTTCGTTCCCATGGCTGTCCTGTCTGTGTCTTCTACCATCAAGTCTGTGTGTAATCATGCACCTCCTGCGAACACTACCGGCCATTCATCATCCAAACACACACAGCTCTTTTTTCCTCTTTGCAGGCCCCTTACATACACCCACCTCTCTTCCTCTCTTATTTCCCACATATTCACACTCATGTTTTTCTTTATTCTACTCTTCACTCCCTTTTATATATCTACATAGACAGACAGTTTTAATTTGATCTGTCCAGAACAGTAGAAGACTTTGAGTGTGAGAGAGAGAGATAGATAGATAGATAGATAGATATATATAGATAGATAATACTTTCTCTTTTTCTCTCTCCATTACCCCTCCAATCTGTTTGTTCATAAGTCCAGAACAGCAAGGACACTCTGTCCCATATTATTACCCTTGAAATTACATAACCAGGATAGAAGTGGGGCGATGTTTGGAAGGGAGTGACACGAAACCTCCCTCAGCCTCTCGCTGCCCAGTGTGCCGAACAGCTGAGTGTGTTTGTTTTGCTTCATTCAGTTTCAGCGTGTGTGTGTGTGCAGAGCTGCTGGCCCTGTATGGCGGTTGCTATTTTTGTGAACAGAGCGGAGAGAGAGAAACAGCATTAGGATTAGGGCTGCACGATAAATCGCATGCGATATTTAACGCGCATCTTGTCAGAAAGCCGGTTCTGTAATCAGCGGTAAATCTCCATCACCTGCGTGCTTTCACATTGAGCAGCATTAACTACACAGAGCCGTTGTTCACTGACGAGTTGCGCAAAAAATC